CTGCCTGAGCCATGGACTTCTATTTCCTTTCCTGAGATATGGTACTCTGGACTGGGCAAAGGGGGGAAGGAAGGGCTGTGTCTGATGTATAGGGTGTTTTAAGGGACTTTAGGATTTTGATGAAGGCATTAGGTCACTACTTTAAGTTTGTATAGCATTAAATAAACATTTCCTTTTTTTTTTCATGAATTTCTCGCATTGAGAGACATCTTTCCTATAGATGGCGGACATAACGGACCTGGGGGTTTCTTTCAGTAACAGTATATCGTCCCAGGCCCCCCTTGTTTGTTCTGTAACAGAGGGGGGTGTGAGGTTAGTAAAGGGTAAAGAGAGCTAAATATATGATGACAAAACCTGATTTGACTTTGCGTGGTGGGCATACAATGTAATATACAGATGGTGTAGCATAGAAATGTATACTTGAAACCTATACAATCTTATTAACCAATGTCATCCCCATAAATTTAAAAAGAATATAAGTGAACAATTATAAAATATTGGCAGCATAAATAGAGGAAAGAGCAACTGTGCATCTAATATTAATTGGATAAGTAATAATAAAGAATCTAACTCCATTTTTTTATGTTGGGGTACTAATGATAGCTTTTAAACCTTACACCTCACTCATTCCCTTCTGCCCCACATCTGGGCAAGCTGGTCAGAATGCCTGGGTCGTTCCTCCTTTGGTGTGGAGTTGAAAACACTTCATGGACCCTTTCACCAGCCACACCCCCTATGTCACATATAGATCTCAAGTAGTATCCTTCCCTTGATCTTTCAAGTCAATTTTGATTAGCTTAGGAGGCCCGGCCTGTTCTCCCCAGAAAGCTGATTACATTAGTGACAAATCTTTTCTCAAAAATTGTGTCTTTGTGGCATTATTAGTCTCAAACCAAATTTTGAGGGTAGCTATCTCATTTTTAAAAACTTAAACAATGAATTACTTAATAGATTTTGATGTGTATATTGTTAGGTGGCCAAAGTTGGTAGAAAATTGAGGGGCAAAAATGCATAATGTCTTCCAGAAGGTGGAGGAAAGGTCATCTGTAGAAGACCCTTAGAATAGGGACTTAGAAGAGGGTTAGAATACTGAAAAAAAAGGAATGGCAACATCACTGAGCACAGAGAAGGGAAAGCACTAAAGGCCCACCTCAGCCTCGAGACGGAATTTGCGAGGATGCCCATCTGCAGAAACATGGTCATTTTCCAGACACCTCATTTGTTTACCTAACAATCTGGCGGTCTGTGTATACTACACAATTTGGAATCCAGGATCTCAAGACCAACATATTAGATATCACTCCATTTTAACTCAGGCTACAAGTAGCTTTTCTAAGAATTATAGTCTGGTTTACTCTACTTTACCCTGCCCTCTCTCTCCCTCACATCGGCATTAACCTTGATGGTTTGTCCCAGGCAAGCAAAGTGTGGGAAGATACACTTAATACAATTAAATTTATTACCCAAAGAAAGAAAATCACTTGAAAAGCCGATAAGGAATATGCTATAGTGAGCATATTTCAGAAAAATGAAACCTGAAGACATAAATTCACACATCTGGCAGTGATTCATAATTGAATATTATTTTAGTTATGATGGTTTACATCAGCCTCAGTCCTCAGACTGAAAGTAGCTGAGCGATATTGCTGGAGCCTTCTCTTCATTCCAACTCCATCTGCACAGAATAAAAGGTTTAACTATAATTCACTCTGGTAGCATTACATAAGAAATTTCCATGAAGGTATTGAAAGAAAAATAATTACCCAAGGAGCCTTGGGCTGGAGGGGAAATATCTTCTCTTTATGATGTGTTTCTAATGGATATATGTGGGAAATAACCTGGAGGATGAGACCATTTTCTTATGTGACTGCATTAGTATCTGTCAGAAACAGTACAAATGTGTCAAACAGGGAGACTGAAATTTTCCATGATGAAAGACATTAAATACAAACCTCTAGTCTTAGGAAATTCACCCAGGAATATATGAATAAGGATAGTATGTTTCAGATACTTTCTGATTCTGACAAACTCATAGTAATTAAAAGCAACGGTGAATTTGACATTGTCCTTTGCCAGGTGATATAATCATACACCCAGTTCTGGTTCCTTAAGAGTAGCACCATAGATCCACTATGTATCCACAACATGTTGTAGCTGATGCGCAAGCCCAAATGAAGCCAGTGATGCACACATACTTGCCTAAGGATCAGAGTTCAGGGAATTCTTTCATATTCCTGGCTAAAAAAAGCCCTTGTGACCAGTTTCCAAACTTTAGGGTATAAATTAAAGTGGACAGTCATTTAAAAATCCTTATTCCCTAAACCAACCCAGTGAAATTCTGATCCACTAGGTCTTGGGTATTGTGTTTGAATCTGCATATTTAGTGAATGCCCATAGTGATTCTGGTACCAATATTATAAGGATAACATTTTTATTAAGATTTAAGAGAAAGCTGGTATCATGTTTTAATGGATTAACCCTCTACTCTGTTAAGCGAGACCCTCACTACTTCAGTATTTTCATTGGCAGTGTGGAGAGGAACAAGTGAAAAAAAAAAAAAAAGGGTTACACAAGACAAAAATTACATTAAAGGTATAGGAAATCTACCCTGCTTTTTGGCAGTCACACAGCTACTCTCAAATTTTAATTCCTGATCCACAGCAAAAGTCATGGATCCAAGCCCCAGGAAAAGGACGAACTGCTATGTGGGAAGAATCGTGTTCAGCTTCACAAACCCCACTTCCACTATGTCTGTGTCTTCAGGGTGGGGGACAAGGAGGACACTGGTCACCAAGAATGCCTGAGGCTTCTCTCGCAGCCTACATTCCCGACAGCACCCCCACCCCCTCCCACCATGCCAGCCTCTCTCTCAATACTATACCGACAATCTCATCCTTACCTGCAGCAACGCCCCGAGCTCCAAAACCATTTCTAACCTGCCTTCCTCATTAAAATGTATGCTGTGCTTTGTTTCCTTGAGTCCTTGATGGCAGTTTTATAAACTGATCGGATGAACTAGTGCTTCCTAAGGCTAACACAATGCATGATAATGACTTACACGTGTTTTTTCCCTTCTTATAATACTTACTCCTGCCTATGTGACTAATGATGAGCACTGCAGACCCCTTGAAAAAACAGTGAAGTAAATATCTGGACTCAAGAGACATCTAGATACTCCAGTAATCATACCATTATAGGGTTGATCATGCCGACCTACGCTCTCCTGAGATGCTCTGTAGCCTCTAAAATCCTGCCTCCATCCTCAGCCTTTCTTTCTTCCCCAACCTTCAAGGGCCCATGCTACTGTATCTAGCATCAGAATGTCTTAACCATAGAGTTTGTGACTATTTATCATGTTTTTCATGCAAAAACAATCACATTATGTTAACCATAAATAACATTCTGGTAATCCTGTTTTTCAGACATAAAACAGAAACATCTTTAAAGGTATAGGAAATGTATAACTCCCTGCTATGGACACAATTATGTTCCCCAAATTCGTATTTTGAAGCCCTACCCCCCTAATGTGACTGTATTTGGAGACAGGGCATATAGGGAGATAAGTAATTAAGGTTAAATAAGGTCATAAGAGTGAGGTCCTCAGGATTAGTGTCCTTAGAGAAGAGGCACCAGAGAGCATTCTGCCTGTCTCCACCACACGAGGACACAGCGAGAAGCTGGCTGGCTGCAAGCCAGGAAGAGAGTTCTCACCATAAACTGAGTGTTTGGCTGGCACCTCGATATTTGACTTCCCAGCATGAAGAACTTCAAGACATAAAAGTCCACTGTTTAAGCCGCCCCGTTTGTGGTATTCTGTCACAGCAGCCCGGGATGACTAAACCGCTCTCATCGTCACAGCTCCTGCCCCCTCATCTGGGGACGCAGCAAACTTTCTGCCGCAGTTCCTATCCTTTTACCTTGGTCTCTTCTTATTCTCAGCACGTATTATCATTTAACTCATATTAAATGTATTTTAAATTTATCACATTTATTTTCTGTCTTCCCTTGTTAGAATGTAAGCTCCACAAGGGCAGGGTTTTTTTTTTCTATTTTATTGACTGCTGTATTGCCCAACCCCAGAAGAGTAACTTATCTGCTTGTCCTTGGAGCAGTAACCTTTAAAATGCTGAAAAATAATAAAATCAGCCTAGAAACTTAGGAAACACAAACAACAGCATACAAATGAAAAACCCAAACAAATAATTAAAATACACACATTTGTTAAAATTAGAACAAAAGGATGTAAACCCAGTGAAAAAGAATTAGGTAAATGTAGTCATGCAGTAAAAAAATGCCCTTATCAGCCTTCCATGAATAAAGGCACAATACCCCACACTCCTAGGATGACATTCTGTAAGAACAAATTAAAAGAATAATAAATACCTCCAGTAATTTTCAACACATAATACTTTGAGGCCAGTCTAAGAAAAATCAATATATATATTATTTGCTTTGCTGTAAATACCTTGAAATGATGGACACAAATTTGCTTCAGCACAATAGTGATTAAATTGCAATTCAGTTCCATGTGAATTGGTTGTTGCCTTCTGAGTTAATACAAAGAATTTTAAGAACAATAGTTAAATGCATTTAAAAATATAAAATAAGTATGGCATATTAGACTACATGACTTCACTAAAAAATCTTTGGATTGTAAAATCACCATTTAACTCATTATTTGAAATCTGGTAACAAACTCATTGCAAAAAAGCATGTTCCACATTGAATTAAATCATCATCCCAGAGAATACAGAGTGTGCATCTCTAAGGCATATGTATGCTCCACAACAGACTAAATATTTTAGAAACCACTAAATGTCAAGCATATGAGGGTGTTAACACATTAATGTTTTCATTAAAAAAGATCCTTTTCTCCATTATATTATGCATTATAGAATAGAGATCTGTCAAATGAAATTACTAAACGTGGTTCAAACTAGGCCTCATAACACTTGCATCATAATTGAGGGCAAATAACCTTTAAAATGAAAGACAAATGATAAAATTATAAAGGCATTTATTTTGCATAAATGTAAAGTTAATAGTCTTTTCCTGGTTACATATTTTATTATTAATTTATATATGTCAGTTTATTAGGTCCTTAACATTGTTGTAGGTCAGTTTTAATTTTGCAATTTATTTTGCCATAATAAATATTATGAAAGTATTTAATCATGTAAAAAAAAAGACAATATCATGAAAATCATTCAGTGTCACTGGAAACATTCTAGCATCTAGACCACATTGTGCTGTTAGTGCCTGCTTTGAAGGAAACATTTATGGTTTAGAATTTTGTGTGTCTGAAACACATATTCAGCTATCAGCCTCTCAGAACTCATTTCCAAGGACTTTCTCAAGGTCAACACTCATTGTTACCTTGGTGTGCAGAACAAGTCTTAGAACACAGGTTCTAGATATGGTACATGCTTTGGTCTTTCTTTGCTTTAAAGACAATATTAACATTGGACACCAAAGTTTTTGGCTTTTAAGTTTTACCCATTAAACTTCTATAAACACTGAAATGCATTCAAATACATCTGCTCCAGGAGTCCTGTGTTAGCATCAACAATAAAATAGAAAAATCCATCTATTGATTAAATATAATAATTTTAATGCCATGATCTCTAACAAATTAGAAAATGTCTGCAGAACATAAATTTAATTATAGACCAAAGTCACATAGAAAAATATCAATTTATAGATGGAAAAATATATTTTATTTTTTTAACTTTCCTTGACTCATGTTTACATACCAACGACCAATGGATTAGGGATAGTAAATGTTACCATCCACCATTAGAATAATTTAATTGGACAGAGTAGAATTTCTTCCTCTGAGCTAATTTTACCTTCAATTATTACCTCCACCTTTTCTTGGTATATTATTTGACGGGAATGAAACCTGGCCTCACTCATTCCAATTCAGATCACTGATAAAGGGACTGAGGATTCTTGGGGACAGAGTGTTCTTTATAGTTCATGTCAACCCACATTGAAATGGCTGGATAAACTACAAGAGTTTGAAATATTTATTATTTTCCTTTCATTTTACTACCTTGTCCTACCCAGGACTTAATATTAAAATTAAGGGCCACATGAATGTTAACCACACATTTGCAGGCACTAGAAATTACTCTTACAGATGTCCGCAAAAACATCTAAATTACTTATCTTTCAATTTTGTTTACAACCCATTTCTCAAACTCATTTAAAGTGTTTGGCTTTGTGTTATAGTGGTAATTTCTAAAACAGTTAAAATGCCTTATGACTTAAACATAATTAGGTAGTCACACCTATCTTTGAAAGTGAGATTTCTTAATAGGTAGATTAAATTGACAGATAAAAATATGAACAAGTGTAATTGCATGCAAATAAAAACATGTACAAGAATGAAAGGAAACATAGGTCAGTCTGGCCTATGGTGTTTGTCAATTACCCTGTTGATTTGGTGGGTTTACAAATAATCACATATCTAAGCTCTCCAACAAAAGAAAAAGAAAAGCATACATAAATGAATATATAGAGATGTATTATGTTATATTGACTGTCTCTCTGAAATAGGAAAGTATCAAACAACTGTAATCTTACATCAGAATAGCACAAAACTATCCTATTTACTGGTGATGGTTTCTCACCTAAAACTCATATTTGGGGAAAAAAAGTGCAATTTCCACATTCTTGGGCTCCAACAAAATTAAACTGAAAACAGAGACTCTTATGAAGCGGGGATGTGGAAATCAGGGGTATCAGGTCTTAAGGCTTCCTAAGCATTTCTAATATTCACAGCAAAAGAGACTAATGTGAAGAACTTGTTTTTTTTGGGATATCAGTCATCGTAAAAATATTTCTGAAGACTGCCGTGCATGGAACGGTGTGGAGAACAATGGTTTCTAGTGTGTTATTTGTTTCTGTTTGACTTATTTTCTGTGATGTCATATCATGGCACATAAAATAATGTTTAACCTTATTGATATTTAATTTTTTTCCAAAAGGGAAAATGGCAATTTGCTAAGTTGTTTCTGTATATTAGTTATAGGTGATCTTGGATTTTTATAAACAGTTTACAAATGTTCCAAAGCTCTTACAACAAAGTATTTCTCAGTTTCACAAATTAACTTACAACTAAAAAGAAATAAAATAACACAAACTACTGTGGAAAAAGAAATAAGTTCACATTTACCTTTCAGCACACTAAAACTAAATGATATCAATTTTTATAAAAATAACTATAAATAATCTATTCAATGAATCTACTTACTAACAGAAATTAGAAAAAAAAATTGCTGGCAAATCTTCAACAAGGACTCCGTGGTTATGAAGTCATATCATACTTGTAATAGAGCTCATCTGTAGGATCTAAACAACTGAAAAAGGTTGTACAAAGTACAGTATGGCCTCTTCAGGGCAGCTGCTAACAGATAGAGCTATGCTGCGGCAGGAATGGTCTCAAACTTCACTCTGGTCATTGAGTTTGCTCAAATTCTGAAATAGAAGAGAGAGAAAAATGCATGTGCTACTGACCAGTCAAAGAATAGTAGTACCTGAAGTGAGCTGTCCAGCCAAGCTAAGAAAACAGCCTATGAGGCATCGAGTAGAGCAGTTTGAAGCTCCCAGTACAAGATCAGAGTGCTGACTTTGAAATCAGCTCCACCACTTAAAAATGGTGTCACTTCCCTGGGCCTCAGTCTCCTCATTTCTAACACTGGGTTAAAGAATAGTATCTACCACATAAGGTTGCAGCAAATTTAGTGAATTAATATTGGTAAAGCTCTTAGTATATTCCTAGAACATAACAAGCACTCAATATACATTAGGGTATAATAATAATAGTAATAGTATTAATGTTAATATTTTGTAAATACATATAGTTCTGATCGAACATAGCAGGACAACTCTGAGAGGCCCAACTGCTGTTCCAGGGTATGGAGAAAGGTAACACAATTTAAAGTCAAAGAAAAAAATCACAGGATATCAAAACTCTAGAGTCAGCTGTAAAACTAACAATAAAGCCCCGTGTTTGGGAGACAACTGACACTTCAGATCATGTGAGTACCAGGCTTCGTAAATACTATTTCCAAAGACGGCGACAGAAGTCAAAGGCATTAGAGTAGAAAAAAAGCTATAATGCTATAATATTCAGAGTGTTTGTATTTGACAAAGGTGTATTCAAATGCCCAAAATAGTGGATCCTGGAAGAAGCTTTTATAAGCACGCAGTTTACACTTAATAGGTGATCATCAAATCCTCTGTGCCATGATGCTGTTGGAAGACCCAAATTATTAAACAATGTGCTAGAGGACTCTAGGTGGGGTTTAATATATTTTAGATACCAGTTGGGTAGCAGGCTAATATTTTTTTTTAATTTGTTTATTTTTAGAGAGGGAAGGGAGGGAGATAGAGAGAGAGAGAGGGAGATAGAGAGAGAGAGAGAGAGAGACATCAATGTGCGGTTGCTGGGGGTTTTGGCCTGCAACCCAGGAATGTACCCTGGCTGGGAATCGAACCTGGGACACTTTGGTTCCCAGCCCGCGCTCAATCCACTGAGCTACGCCAGCCAGGTTTTTTTTTTTTTTTTAAAGATTTTATTTATTTATTTTTTAGAGAGGGAGAAAGAGAGAGAGAACACCAATGTGCAGTTGCTGGGGGCCGTGGCCTGCAACTCAGGCATGTGCCCTGACTGGGATTGAACCTGCAACACCCTGGTTTGAAGCCAATGCTCAATCCACTGAGCTACGCCAGTCAGGGCAGCAGGCTAATATTTTTTAAAAAACCCTTGATTTTACATCCTAATCTTTCTTATAATTGTCGCAGGCCAACTTACTTGTCTCACTTTATTTGAATGGATGTTACTTAATGCAGCAGATACCGATTTAAAAAAAAATGGTTTCTCTGAGTCTAGATTTCCACAGTACTTCATTGCTTTTACCAAGGAAGCTGCAAGAAAGCACAAGTAACATAAAGACTACATTGCAGCAAAAAAAATCACGTTCAATTGTTCACGGATTAATGTTAGCCAAGGACATTTCCTTTCTTACCTGTACAATGGGCTAAAAATACATCCACATTCTTGCTCTTACAGTCCATGTAAACCTGGAAGAATTAAAATAGTACCCCACAATTAGTGCAGGATTACCAACACAAAGGGATACAACCGGCTTCAGAATCAAGAATTTCTGCTAAAAAGCGCCAATGTCTATGATGTCAGACCACCAGAGGGCGGCATTGCCTCACAGTCGGGAGTATGCTGGAAAGCTGAGTGTCTTAGCAAAGATGAATGGAGCAGGGCATTTTATCTTTTTATACAAATAAGATTTTTCCTTTTTATTGAATTTATTGTGGATACACTGGTTAAAAAAAATTTATACAGGTTTCACAATTCTAGAACACATCATCTGTACACTGTACTTGTATTATGTGTTCACCACCCCAAGTCAAGTCTCCATCCATCACCGTTTATCCCCCACACCCTCCTCCACCTCCCCACCCAACCTTTCCCCAGAAATCAGAAGTACACTGTTGTCTGTGTCCATTTGTTTCGTTTATATTTTATATCTCCCTCCCCACCCCACTCCCCCACACCACACACACACTACCAGCAGCTGTCAGCCTACTCTCTATGAGCCTGTCACTATTTTGCTTTAGTTCATTTTGTTTATTTTGCTGCTTACATTTTCCACTTCATTTACTAAAAATAAAAGAATTACCTCTCCTTCTATATAAGAAATATATAAAATTATTCTCAGTTTTATTTTATTTAAAGTCAAGGACCCATTTGTGAAAGTGATGAAAACAACTAAACTTCAATATTTTTACAATTTGTGCATATTCATGGACTCTGGAAATCCCATCCACGAATGGTAAGTTGAGAACCTCACTGTACTTGAAGTTTGATTGCCTGACTTTCAATTTTAAAGGTCCATCCAGAGATCCTAAATAATTTGGTTGCCATACTGTAAGGTCTTGCCTCATTCAAGCCCAAGAAAATCTCAAATAAGAACAACTTATCGAAGGCTCTGACCTTAAATTAACCCAGACCAAAGTCACCCCATAAAACACAGTGCAAGTAAAGGTAGAGGTTTTAGTGACTGTAAGATAGAGTTTCTTATAAAACAGGGATGTATTTTACCATTAAAATGTCAAATCCTGCATTTAAACACATTCTAATATTACGCATGAAACATCTAAAACTTTCCCGTATATTCTTCTAGCAGTAATCAGTTCTATGCTGGAAGAATCGTAGAACAGGAGACGTTTCTCTTGGAGAGTGAGTAAACAAGCAAACAAATAAATAATACATGGACTGAGGCCTGGCCTCTGAAGAAATGGCTCCTGTGTGTGAAACGTAAAATGATCAGTTCAAGGTGACCTGTCCGTGTTTGCCTTTTCCTTAAGCTCAGGAAAGCACAAGCACATGGCTACGGGCAGTTTGTGGGGGTGATAAACATAATCTCCAGTTCACTGACCTCTCCGGTGTCTCAAGCACAAAAATAAACAGAAGTCACTCCATTTCCTTCAACCTCTCACTGCTAGGAGAATGTTCCTTATACTAAAGTGACTAAGAAAATAATCCAGGCAGTGTTATTGAAAAGGAAGGCATGCATGGCCAAGGAGACTCTGTGGGTCTTTACTCTGGACCCTCTTTCAGGGTGGTTGCAGCTAAGACATGATGTCAGTTGCCATGATATTATTTGCATCTTAAGAAATGACTTTTGCACAATAAGAACAAAGATTAGAAGCTAACATTACTGAGTATTTACTAACTTCTCCAAACTTTATGTTCTTTTTATGGGACATATCATTTCTAAGTTACGCTTCCCAACAGCTTAATAAAGTGGGTATTTCTACTCCCAGTTTATAGAAAAATGGATACCTGAGCCCACAGCCCATAACTAATTATATAGCTAACATCTGGACCCAGGGTCTGACTGTCTTTAAAAAGCTATGTTTTTAATATCCATCATAATTTCCTATAACCATGATGAAATATATCAAATAGTAATAAGGAAATTAAAAAGGGCAAACTGATATAAAATTGCTGATTTTATAAATATAGACAAAAACACTAGGCCAAGGGAAATGCAGTTTTCTTCCAATTTAAAAATAAAATGCATTTGTTAATTATTCCATCATTTTATCAGAAGGTATTTTAACTATTAGGGTGACTTCTTAAAAAGCTTTTTTTCAACATGCCCAATTTGTAGATTATTTGAATTCCTTTAAATTTTCAACCTTAGATTATAAACTCAGTGGGAATAGGTAACCATTTCCTCCTCCTTACTAATTCTGCAGTGATTTGCAATATCTAGAGAGGACAGCTAGTAAATATTAGAGCACATTCAGAAACAAATTTATAATATATGAAAAAATATGCATACTTGCTTTTTTCCAGTAAAAGAACACTCCTAGCCCTGGCCAGGTGGCTCAGCTGGTTGGAGCATGGTCCTGTACACCAAAAGGTTGTGGGTTCAATTCCCGGTCAAGGTATAAACCTAGGTTGCAGGTTCAATCCCCAGTCAGGTGTATATGAGGGCAACTGATTGATGTTTCTCTCTCATATCGATATTTCTCTCTCTCTCTCCCTTCCTTTTTCTCTAAAATCAATAAATATATCCTCGGGTGAGGATTAAAAAAATCATAGTCTAGTGTTTCTCAAAATATGATCCTTGGACCGCATGCCTCAGAATTATCTATGACTGCTTAAAATGCAGATTCCTGGGCCAGAACCAGGATGCAGATAATTGCATTTTAAATGAGCACTTCATAGGATTCTTATGCACAGAAATTTAACAACACTCGTCTAACCTTGACAACAGAGAGAAAATAAAAATGCTGAGCCTAAGAAGCCCTCCAATAAAGAGGGATTATCTATGTAGAGTCCAAGTTTAGATGCAAGAAAAGTATTCATGTGGAACCCTTTGCCAAATCCTATAAAGATTTTAAAGTGAACAAGATGATGAAGGTTGATTACATGGGGAAAGGATGGCTCACCAAAAATGGCTACCAAATTTAAGGGCTAGGACATTTAAAACTAAATCCATCATATTACATAATTTATTTTCTGAATATCTGCTAATGCTGACACAAAATCAGCCCTCAGTTTTACAAAATGAACAACCTGAGATGCAGGCAGGTGAGCCCATCTCCCCAACATCTCACAGCTAGCCTGGCGTTGTTGAGACCCCACTCTCAGACTGTCACACGCTGAGCGGCTTACCTCCACATAATCTACCTTGTGCTCACAGAGAGGCCACACCAAAGTTGACCTCTGTACTAACTATCTCAAGTTTGAAAGGCTGGACATTTTAAACTTAAAGTACAAATAACAGAGACATGGCTATGAACCACCACAAGGAAGTCAAAATCTGCAACCTGGGAACTTCTAAAGACTACTGATCTTCACCATTTAAAAGTCCATGTCCAATTTCAACTCTGGCCACGTTGAGGAAATAATACACGACTATCCTATCCACCACAAATAGAGAAACAGCAGGACGCAAACATACAAACAACCGTTTTCAAACAACGACAACAGACAGCACAGGACTGAAGAGAAAGACAACAAATGAGGCGAGCTCGCTGATCATCCTGGCTTTCTGTGCTAACGCAACTCTGGGCCCCTGCAGCGGGGTGCGGGGGCACCCTCGAGGGGAAAACAAAGTGCTTCACTAAGCTGAGCAGACAGAATGGGAGTCCCGGAAGAACTGGTGGGTGTCATTTGTGAGAGTAATGGAAAGGAAGAAGCTATGCAGAGAGAGAGCTCCAGAAATGCTCATAGGTTTTAACTAAGTTTTTTGCTCCAGGCAAATCCACACTTAGCGGATATGGCATGAGGCCAGGGTAGGAGAACCCCGCCGGAGCAAATGCCCGAAGACAAGGTGAGCTGAGCTGGGTGCAGCAGAAGCTGGTGGAGGACCGAGAACAGCTGAGAGACGGGTGTTGCCTCCTCCTCAAGACCCTGCCCCCAAATTCAGGTGTTAGAGAACAAATGGAAATAAGAAGGAGGGGACATTTCTTGTTGACTCAGTACTTAACCAAGAGAGAAAAATATTCCAGAAGTGTCTGGAGTTTTTCTTGAATTGGCAAAATTAGGTGTTTTTTCATGGAAATGGGAGCTTGTGAGCTTTGTCAGTTTGAGCGAAATAAAACTGTTATTTTTGCATACCGGGATGCGGAGACTCTGCGGTGACAGTGACGGGGTAGAGAAGTAAGCACCGTCGTTCCGGAGAATAGAGAAAACCCTGCAGCAGGCACTGGTTCAGGGACCACCAACGACACTGGGTCAAACTCTAGGAGGGAACAGTGTGAGCTAGGACATCCTGCCACCACCAAGGCTGCTTGGTTATCACGGAAGGGACTTCCTTCCTTCCTAGAAGCCTGAAGCTGGCTGACATGACCCTCACCGAGACAGGGCGAGTGACAGCAGGACTAAAATCAAGGCTTTTAGAACCCTCACTCAGCACTTTGAGTTACAACTACAATTTAACATGTAAAAAAGGAAAAAACAGAGTACATCAGAAATGTTCCAGCAGAAAGTGAATTGTCATAAAGAAGAAGATGGTGACTCTTAAGCAGGACAATGAGAAAAATGTGGTGGTGAATCAACAACTTGCCTTAGGCATTAGAATGAATAATTATTTTTTTAATCTTTTTTTAAAAGATTTATTTATTTATTTTTAGAGAGGGAAGGGAGGGAGAAAGAGAGAGAGAGAAACATCAGTGTGCGGTTGCTGAGGGCCGTGGCCTGCAACCCAGGCATGTACCCTGACTGGGAATCAAACCTGTGACACTTTGGTTCGCAGCCCGCGCTCAATCCACTGAGCTATGCCAACCAGGGCAGAATGAATAATTATTTCATGACTATCCTTGAACAGTTTACTGCTTTCACATAAATGACTTTAAATTATAATGAAGATACTTTACTTAGACACATCAAGAACAAATCTTGGCTGTAAAGCTGATTATAGGCTCAACGTGCAGCATCCCCACCATTCAACAAAGTCCTTGAAACAGCCACAGATTTCTCAGACACTGGGTAGAATGCTGGAGGGACATGATAGACAAGACACAGGCCCTGCCATCTGAAACCCTTGGCCAGTTTGCACAGGAGTGATGTGACCAGACATCTAGTTACAGAACGGCAAAGAGAGGCGCGCTCTTCCCGCTACCAGGGCGCACTGACTGAACGCTGTCCTTGGTCTGCCTAGCTGTGTGCCTGTCTGTGTGAGAGGCTGGACCAGCTGTTCTCAGAGGCTCTTTTCAGTTCTTTTTCTTTTTTTTTTATTGAACTGCAAATCCTGTTTTCGCAAGGCTGCTGTTTCTACCACTATGGAAATGATGGTCATGTATATAGCAAATTCAAAGACAGGACTACAGGACCCAAGAGGAGGAAAAGATTAGCTGTAAAGGGGCACAGTTCTCCTCCAAGCCAAGTATCTTTGCTAATGAGCAAGTAGGTTAAAAAAAGAAAAAGAAAAAGATAAAGAAAGAAAAGCAAGCAAGAAGGCACCGGCTAGGATAATGGGATGTGTGAGTGAGGTTCTTCAACAGATGTGCCTGCGGTGAGCTCAGTAGATAGGTCTCAGCACTTTTCACCGGAACATTTCTCACGCCAAGTGCTGCTCCCTGGACAATCCAACAGCTGCAGTCTCCCTTTTTGAGGAAGAAGGAGGCCAGTAGGTCTCTCCCTGGGTAAAGCAGGACATTTGTTGTCCTTTGCCCCTGGGCCATCTTCTCCCCAGGCGACAGGTGAAGCCCAACTTCATGAGCTACTGAGGTGGCATCAGGATGATGCTAGTGAGATAAGAAACCCCCTTCTTTCTGAAGTGTTTTCAGATGGACCCTCCTTGGCCTGGGTCTGGGGGTAAAATTGTCTAAGCACCACTGTGACCTGCTTGTCCCGTGTGAGAGTATTTCAGTGCCATTCCCGAAACACCCCTGAACCATCCCTCCCCTGCATTTGCAGGGAAATCCCATGTGGCTTAACTTTCTGTCCGAGGTAGGGTTTCAGAGGGCCCTGCAGATGAAACTCCAAGGTCAGCAGCAGCGTTCTCACAGTGAAGCAGTGATCTCCTGTTTGAGCAGAGCTGCCTGGCACATGGGATCCCCACTACATCTTGAGTCTATGTTCTCTTCTCTCTATCTCATGTAAATATTCCCACCTAAGCCCCCCACAAACACACACATACCTAGAAGCTTGATGGGATCTGAAAATAAATGCATGGTGGTGGAAGGCAAAGGACATATCTATGTCCTTTGGAGAGAAGGGGTGAGGTGAGTATTGAAACAAGAAGGGCAAAGATTCCGGAGCTGAGAGAGGAGATGGTGAAACCCTGTTACTGAAGGGGAGGGAAAGAATCAGTCCAAACGCAAGCTGTGTAAATACCTCGACAAGCATGGAAACTCCAGATGAGTCGAAAAAGGTCAATCCACTGCAATCCAGGATCAAAGAACACTCCTCATTTGAGTGGGGCTGTGACACCTCTTCTGTAGGAGGAACACAGGCTTGAGTTAAGGAGAGTTCTCGGAGCGTTCTGCTGCTGATTTTGTTGAAAAGTGGAATGATTACAGTGGCCTTATGTTTGACAAGACTAGTGCCATACACTTTTGAATCTTTACATTTTCAATTAATTACTAATTATGTCTGAACTCTGATTTTTCAAATGTTATGTCAGGCCATTATTACATAACTCAGAGAAGATGGGCTAGGTTAAGCACCAGTGTCATTTCAAACACACACAACCCAAACCCCAGCAAGGTCACATAATTTTGAAAGAAATATCTGGCAGTCAGCGCTAAACCAACTAGAACCAAGGCCTCGGATGCCCTGCATCGTACTCCTCCACAGCTATATAACACAGTTTCCTTCACGGGCATGTGCACAGGCAGGGCCCTGTCTTGTGGGGCCTGGAGCTTATACAGCTTTGCAGCCATACTTTTCAGGAGAATATTCATTGCTGAAGCCTGTCTCTGGGCCTCGGAAGGGGTCTGAAGGAGGGGCCCTGAGAATTGCTTCATTAGATTTGTGGTAAATCTGCCTCTAAAAGCACCTATTGGGAAAAATAAATTTCACTGAGGAGTTCAGGACCTCTTTTCCACTGATGTCCTAAGGGCCACACTTCTTCGTGTGAAATGACATGTGTCTGAAGCAACTACAGGCCACGTCTGAGGTCCCTCTAAGGAGAGGTGAGGCTCTCAGAGCAGTGCCGGTAGGCTGAGCTTTTCTCACTGTCAGAAGACAAAGTCCATCAAATAAACTCCAATTGGTTAATTCCTATGACATTATCTAAACAATAAATTCTTTTTTTTAAATATTTTATTTCTTTATTTTTAGAGAGGGAAGGGAGGGAGAGAGAGAGAGAGAGAGAGAGAGAGAGAGAGAAACATCAATGTGCGGTTGCTGGGGGTTATGGCCTGCAACCCAGGAATGTATCCTGGCTGGGAATCGAACCTGGGACACTTTGGTTCCCAGCCCGCGCTCAATCCACTGAGCTACGCCAGCCAGGTAAACAATAAATTCTTGATTGGAACAATTTTGCCACTTAAAATATCCATGGTCTTCTCCTATGGTGTTATTACAAAGGAATATGGTAGTTTCTCAATTAGCACTGAGAGACAGTATAAGGGAAATTGTGAATTTTTAAAAACTTAGAGGAAAATAACAGGTGAGTGTAAACGATAGAAAAAATACTGAAAATTTATATATAACAGTAACAATTAAGAAAAGGAGAAATGCTACAAAGTAATTTTAATGTATTTGAAATTTGCTATGCAGGTACAGGTTGTGCCTGAGTTTCACCTTCAGGTCTGTATGAATGGTTATTAATTGAAAAATAAATAGAGCATATACTGTGTTCAAAAATTTTTTTTCAAATGTAGTGAATGGAACAAACGTGAGAAAGGTCCTGTTTCTTCTAGGAGCTTATCCATGAATGGCACAGATAGGATTAGTAAATAAATGACATGATTTAAAATGAAAAAAGAATGGGAATTTATAAGAAGGAGAAGTCTCTTCAAAGTGATTAAGAAAGCTACATGCCAAAGTAGCCTTGGAGGATATACATACGTTCCAAAGCAGACGTGATACGGAGATGTAAGGACTCTGGTCATAGGGACAGCTTTAACTGAACACTGATGAGAGCTGGCAATCTGAAACTCCTACTGCTCCCTCCACACAACCAGCACTTATTGAGGACCTACCACATGCCAGGCACTTAGGTGTGCTTTCTGCTTCTCTATTTCTCCCATGGGAAGGAGGGTTAAGAAATAAGTATAGATTCAGGTTATGCTACCACATGCTTAAAATAGCAGATTAGAACCTCAGTCAAAATGGGAAGTAACCACAATTTAGCTCATTTGCTGACCACTCAGTAGTAATCATTATCGTGCACTGTTTGCCTAATTAAACATAGGACCCACCTCTACTAGGCAAGGGCTCTCTTTACATCCTCAGATGGAATGTGCCTCTGCTCATTATCAGAGATATTAGGGGATTCAGATCACAGGAAATAAATACACATCCCAAGTGAAGATTAAACAGTGGATTGTTGACTGGTATTTATTCATTTTACCTCCTAGTTTCATAACATGTACACACACACACACACACACACACGTTGGTGCTACACTAATTAGTTTATAAATACTTTATTGCACTTTGTTTAGAGTTACAGAAAAAGAATTCCTAGATTAATAGTAAATGAATTGTACATTATTCAATTTGTGGCATGCATTTTCTTATTTTTTTATTTATAAGTACGTTTTTATCTAATTTGAAAATATTTTTTTAATTTTCAGAGCATAAAAATATCTAAAAATTAAACATTAAATAACCTTAGAGAAGTTTAATGTCCATATGATATACATATATAAAAATATATAATGGATTACATATTTTCTTACCACATTAGATACAGAAATAGTTTTAGTAACCATAGTGATAATGTCCCTTGGAATTCAATATTTGAAGGGTTCCTATGCACATGCTTTTTAACATATCTGTTTTAGAAAATAAAATGTATGTGATTCCTTTAAAGGCAGTAGTGGATTCAAGTCAACTTATACCAGCTTTTCTGACATCTTTTCAATATGTCAATTGTGTCCATATCTTTCAATTCCATGTTTAATTATAGCATGCTGGTAATTAGTCACAATGGAATATTTACTCCATGGAAATTGGCAAATGCTACAAATCAGGGCTTCTCCACCTTCTCCACTACCCCCCACCATACCCTCCACTCCAAGAGTTGTTTGTTAAAGATTCAACAGCACATTATTGGTATAATGCAGGTATTCTGGTTAAATATGAAGAAAACAATCAGTAATTTTTAACAATCAAATGGCTTTAATTAAGTTAATAACTTAAATGACTACAATCTTTAGCAACAGTTCTTAAAATGAAATTATGACATAATTTATTATCAAAATTAGTCAATTCCTTTTTTATCTGCTTATTCAGTCCTGTTCTTAGCAAAAGACATGTCTTTTATAATACAGAACATATAAAATAAGCTACAATCTAAAATCTATCACCCCAAATTTATATAGAAAAAGTTATTAATATTTAATCCTAAACAATTAAAATTAAAGAAATTCTAAATTTTTCTGTTTTTTCTTAATTTTAGAAAGTGGGGAAGGGAGGGAGAAAGAAAGGGAGAGGAACATTGACATGAGAGAGAAACATTGATTGGTTGCCCTTTGTATGTGCCCCGACTGGGGTCTGAAACAGCAACATGCCCCAAATGGGAACCGAACTACAATCCAGGCATGTGCTCTGACCAGGAATCAAACTGGAGCCTTTTTCACTTTGTAGGATGATGCCCAAACAACTGAGCCACACCAGTCAGGACAATTTTTCTGACATCTTTAAACTTCATTCTTTATTTATTAGAAAACGTAACTGTCATTGGTATTAGCTACAAAAAAGGCTTAGTAAAAAGAAACTGTAATCTGAAAGAATATTACCAGCTAGTTTGTTTAGAAAGTGTCAATGCATTACTTTCCTGAAAGAAGCTACATTAATTATTATCCATAACTATAACTATATGGCATGAGCTCTACCATGACCATTTCTTAGCCAGACAGTCATGGCTAATCAATCATGGTAATTTTTCCATTGAAGTCAAAGAAGGCCTGAGAGATTTTATCAATTCAGTGCTTTAGGAAGCCACTGCTAGTTCATTAAGAATATTATTTGTCAATCTCAACTTAATACTACAGTGAAAAATTAATCTATATATACGTTGTGGAGAGAGATTGATCGCTGGATCTAAACAACTAGAAAATGGTGGTAAGAAAAGTATAGAAAATTCTTTAAAACACAAGTTTTCTTTTCTATCCTGTCACATTTATTTCACTTGTAATTTTATTCTTGCCATTCTCTGTATTTTCTTGTAATCATTGCATAATTAAAGTGGTAATAAACTGTTATTAGAATGTTTTGGTTTTTTCAATACTGATACAAAAATTTCCCTTCCATTTTCTCACTGTGTACATGCTTTGTCTTTCATTTTTACATCTGAATTTCTTTCCTGCTCCTTTAATTAAAATATGTGCATATTTTTAGATCACCCAATACAAAACAAATGAAGCAAAAGAACTGTGCCCTGTAGTTATGGATAATAATTTAAGTAAGTTATTTTAACAAAAGCAATTCATGATGCATTTAGTAAATAAAAAAACACATTTAATGGGAAAGTTACCATTTTGCTCAAATGAAACGTTAAAAACAATGGAGATTTCTGAAATCTTTTTGAAAATAAGTGATATTTTCTTTTATACAGTATCCTCTCAGTTCTGCCATTATACTGATTTTATGGTTATAACCATGTGCTCTAAGCTTCTAAGTAAATCAAACACTGCAATAAAAATCACATTGTCCTGGAAAAGAGTAAAGTAAATTCACAGCTAATATTCTGCATTAAGCAAAATGAGGTAAGCTCAGAGCATGTGTACAGGAGACAACAAACCTATACCCATGTAGAATGTGGTAGATGATGGGCTTTATCTACCAAAAACAACATTTCAGAAAAAAAATAAACCATCAGTTGTGGGTGAACAATTAATTCCAGTCTGTGGAAGCTAGCTCTTTCCTGTTGAATATTCATTAACACCTTTAATTAAAAAGTATTCATGGTTGCATAATTTAGGAGTGCTGTTCATAGACATCAATAAGTTCTTGACAGCCTGTGAGTCACTCATAATTTTTTTAAAAGGCATTTTCTGTCAATATCAATTAACTATTGAGAAGCAGATTTGCATCTTTAATTTGTCAAGAAAACAAAAAGATAAGAAATATTTAGGACAAAACCACAACACCATCTTTTGAAAACCTGTGCGTGTATTATTGAGTACTTCAATCATTCATTCATTCCCTCAAGCACTTAATCAGTGTAGGTGTATTTGGTGCTTACAATAGGCACTGTCCTCAGAAATGCAAGTAGAGAGGTAAACAAGAGAAGTTATGGTCTCAATAGGCTCACAACCAA